AAAATAGCCCTGGAAGAATTCTCAGGGCCATAAATTCACCTATTGTACACTGGTATTGCAATAGTTGGCCCTTGCACAAGGCAGCATTAGTGGGTCCCTTTACTATGAAAGAGGTGGAGTGTGCGAACTAGAGGGTTCTCTTACATCACCTCCAACCTTTTTGACAGCTGTGTGTGAAGGAAAAGTGGCAGCCCCTTTTGGGCCGTGATTGTGCAAATGCTCAACCTTGACAAATCTGAGTGTGATGTTGGTGGTGCATAATGTTTTCTGACAGTGCTCCAGTACAACCACTGGAATGCTGCATCTGAATAACCAACTATCTTGTGAAAGATGTTGAATTGGGATGGAATAATCTTACGGCTGGATTGTGGTGAGTCGTCACGTATTTTACTAATCTCTAATGCCCAAGAGATTACCCGGCTGTCCAGGGAAGCTAGATTTCTCGTACTGAGGGCTGCCAGAGGCAGAAGAGTGATTCTTACATATTCTTTCTTACTTGCCTCAGGCCTGTGCAGTGCCCTATTTCCCAATCTTTGATGTGCTACCAAATGAATAACTGAATGAACATTTACTTGTGTCGGAAACACAGGTCATTATATCAGACAGGAAACCAATGTAAAAGAGAAAAAGTCAATTACAGAGCTGATCTCCAAAATGTTACATGTTCCCCCGCAATTCCCACCTGGATATCCCACGGTCGGAGACAGGAACTTGTTCCAGAATCTCCGTTTATAAGCAGGTGTTTGGGAAAGCTGGGCTTCTGTTGGATGAGTTGCTTGCTGGATGGGTGTGAGATATATGAGAGTGTTTGAATGAGCGGCCGAGAGAGCTCCACGTTTGCCAGTGAGAGGCCATGTACGCTGTGAGGCACTTGTGCAGCTACTGTTTCGTGGAAAAGGGCTTGTGCAGGAGAACTTTCCAAACAGCCGAATGTGTCTTTGATGTTCTACTGGAGTAGTGAATAATATTATTAAGGTGGAGTTCTGGTGGCTGGGTTGGTTGATGCCACCACCACCCACTGTCACGTGTGCGATGGGGAACAAGGTGCTCCTGCTTGCTCCTCCTACCCAACGCATCTGTCCTACCCTGAACATCTAATGTGGGGGCATACTGTCCAAATTGGCCATATATGCATATACATCTCATGCAGTGGATTCCTGGACTTTATTAGGAAATTGCCTGTGCAATCATAACATATGTTCAATGCAGACTCACATTCTTACTGCGCAGACCAGGAGCTGCACAGGGAAGGGAGTTCCTTGGATGCTTCAGTGCATATTTGGAATTATGCATGCATTTATTGGCTTTGTTTATATTCCACTTTTCTCGCTGAGACTCAAGGCAGATTGTGACCCGCAGGGTGCTTTTTTGGGTCTACCCCTCTGCCAGAGGTGGCGAGCTAGAAAGAACAGCCGGGACCAGTCAGGTTTTGGGGGAGGGCTAGGCAGAGAGTTCCCAGGCCCCCCTCCCTGCCCCTTGCCCACAGGCCCCCTGTGCATCCTCTCCCAGGACCCCTCCCATCATCCAAACTCCCAACCGCAGACATGCCCTTCCCCTGACTAAGGTTACCAAGTACCACAAATCGGTGGGGGACACATGCTTTCCCGCTGGAACATTCCTGCCTGTAACACACCCGCGTCGCACTATGCTGTTGCCCAGACGTGATGTCAGCACGCCGGGCACGTAGCCGGGCGACGCTCTGGCAATGGGGCTGAAAACTCGGTGGTAGCATTGAGTTTTCAGCCCCATTGCTAGAGCGTCGCCCGGCTACGTGCCTACGTCACGTCTGGGCGACAGTATAGTGCAGCGTGTGTGTTTTCCCCGCGGGAATGTTCCCGCCAAGAACTATATGTGTCCCCCACTGATTTTCGGCGGGTACTTGGTAACCCTACCCCTGACAGCCCTGGACCACACAAGGGACCGGAAGCATGGGTGAAAGGAAGGCTGTCAAGCAGGAGGGGTAGGTTGGGCGAGGGCAGTGGGCCCTCTTGGAAGCTTCGAGCTCTAGTAGTCGCCCCACCTCAGGGTATGCTAACACCGGCCCTGAGTACAGCACATGCCAAAGGGGTGGGGGATAAATGCAAACATTTTATGCTGCATCACAAGCTTTACAGGACAAAGCTGGCACCCGTCATTTACATCTGGGAGACAGAAAGGAAAGCACGGCTGTTAACAGGCCCCTAACAATTTCCAGCCGGCCAGCCACACTGTGCTCTAAACCGCAATTTCTGAATAGTCACCCTGGGCAGGTCACCGAAATCAGACATTTAAACACAGATCGGCTGGCTTTCCATATCTGCAAGGCCTGACCCTTTATGAGCAGGCTGCTTTGACTCATACTTACTGTTTCCTCCTGCATTCAATGGCTCTGTCTATCCTGAACTCTGGCAAACTGATGAATCCTTCTGCTTTTTCATCCTAGCATGAGAGGGAGAGGAAATACTGTTGAAAAAAAGAGAGCACCGGGTTGAGAGTGGAGAATCCACGCACTCTTTTCATTAAAGGCACTGAACTGCCAGATCCCTGAACAAGCTCTATTGAACATCCGTTCTGTTTGTAGACAGCAAGCCAGAATACCTTTAAATACGGAAAGCTTTTCGGAACAATGAAGGCGACTTTGAACCTATTCAAAAACGCGAGACTATGCTTTTCAGAAAATGTGCGCTGTGACTCTGCTCACCTCTCTGCCCCGAATATATTGCTTGACGGTAGTTTTACAAGTATTGTTTTTCAGGCGGTAAAGTCCTAGACTGCAGTTCAGCAACCCAGAGAAGAAAATGGTCCTGCCCCTTTAATAGAGGCTTAATATGTAGAAATGGGCTGATGCGGCTTCACACGGGACAGGCATAAACAACATCACTTGGTAAATAATATCCCATTAAGCCTTTATTAAAGGGACTGGGCCTTTTTGTGTGTGTGTGTGTCCAGGCTGCCTGCAGGCCTAAGCCAAAGTTGAAAGTGCGTCATCTCATTGTTTGAAATGGATTTGATATGAGAGAGCCATTGAATGTGGTCTTAAAGGATGCATTGGGGTGGGCCAGTGTTGCTGGGAAGGGGGGAAGGGAGGGGGGGGATGTTTCTGACTGGTTTTGGGGAGGGAGGGGGTTCTAATGCAGCTGGGAGAAAAATAATACAGGTATTGATCTAGACTGGGGAAATGGCATGGAAGGCCAGGCTAATCTCACCTTTCCCAAGTGCCACTGCTCTGATCAAGTGCAGCGACTTCCCCAGGTAGGAATCCAATAGGCCTAGAGAAAATTAAAAGTCCTGTTTCTTTAACGGAGGCTTAATGTGTGGAAATGGGCTGTTGAAGCTTTTTGTGGTATGGAGGTGAACATCATCTGGCCAATAACATCCCATGAAACCTTTATTAAAGGGACAGCACATCCCACCCCGCAGGCTGTCGGCAGCCCTACAAAACAAAAGCATTGGGAGATCCAGGGACAGATCTCCTGTGCCACAGGCAGCATGGCCTTCAGCTGCTCACTCCTAGTTGTTTGAGTCTCGGCTCACACAAAGAAGTCAGTCAGAGCTGAGCAGACTTCTCCCCAGGGGTCATTTCCTGTGGGAGCGCACAGGAGCGGAGCTCTGGCAGTAAAGAGCCCAGGGGGCAGGCACATTGAACAAGCCCCGCCCCCTGCTCCCAGCAGCCCTCAGTCGGGCCACGAGGAGCAAGAAGCAGCCAGGTAAGTTGCAGAGCCCCCCCCCGGCCCACCTTCAGGTATAAGCTCTCCCTCCTCTGTGAGGGCAGATCTGTGCATTCCCCCCATAGCTATGAAGCTATCAATCCAAAACAGTCCGGTGGAGACTGAGCGGTGGGTGTTGCCTTCTGACACACTTCTGGTGATGTCATAGGGTGTGGCATATGCAAATAAGTTATGCTAATAAGTTATGCTAATGAGCGCCTGCACCTCTTTTTCTATGAAATGACCCCTGCTTCTCCCATTCCATTTCCTTTATTGCTGTAGACCCTCTCAACATTGTGGCTTCCCATCTCGTTGATGATTTCAATTCAACTAAAGTTCTTTGAAATTAATTTTGTAACCAAATCAGTTCCTTCCATTTTTTTACATTCTTCTTCCCCTCCGTTAACTATAGAAACACTGCTTTTGTGCAATTTTACTAGTACACAAAACACAATTTTGCTAACGGCACTCCTGTGCATTGGGGAAATACCACACAAAGAAATTTTTGATACAACTGTGCATAAAATTGGGCCTAATTGCCCCCCCCCTTGCAGCATAGGCATACATATCAGAGGGGTGGGGGAGATGCATATGGAGTGAAAAAGCAGGTAACTGTGACAGACTGTTATATGCAGAGCACTCTACACACTATGGGAGGGGGGTGGGTGGGGACAGAACCAAAGAGGATTTCTAATGCATCAGCTGAACTTTGGGAACAAGAGCAAGTAATTCAGAGCTCCGCAGTCCAGGGGAAAATGGAGATGAGGCCAATTTCAGAAGCTTCCTAGAGTCAGCAGCAGAGAAGTATAAGTGAAGATCACTAACCCTTTGTCGTGCATTGGCAAGTACAGGAGTCAGGAAACAGCCAATCAGGCTGTTCAAAACAAAGGCCCTGATAAAACTAGATACTGATTTTAGAGTCTGACTCAGGAAAGAGAGTTGCCCTTGTGGGCAGCTACCCTCTTCTCAACTATTGGACAGAGGGCTATCATTCCAAAAACAAAATGGGGGGGAGAGGGAGGGGGGAGGGGGGAGAGAGAGAGAGAGAGAGAGAGAGAGAGAGAGAGAGAGAGAGAGAGAGGTGGTTTCTTCCATCAGCCTTCCTGACCATCTCCTTCAGGGTCCATCAAGGGTCAGGAATTTTGCTCTTTCCCTGGAGAAAATGGCTGCTTTGGGGGGTGGACTCTAAAGCATTACACCCAGCTGAGGTCCCTTCTCTCCCCAAGCCCCACCCTCCCCAAATCTCCAGGTATTTCCCAACCCAGAGCTGGCAGCCCGAGGGGGAGGGAAGAGAACAAAGACCGCTTCCATTGAGCACCACCTCTATTTCATTAAGTCTTAGAAAGAGATAGACAGACATACAAGGACTGATGTGTGAGGGGACACTCCATTACTCCCCCTTCCCCCCTGGGCTCCGATTTACTTCTCTGTCCATACCTGCTCACTCTTTTGCCCTCCCCCTTGCTCACCCAACAGATCTTATCGTCTGCCCATGTTCTCTTTCGCTCTCTTCCTCTGTTTCCCTCTGGCTTCAGTCCTCGCTTCTCCCCCACTCGCCTCCCCCTTCCCGTGGCCACTGCCACCACAGCATTCTGAGTGGCTGAAGGTATTCTTTACAATCACGAGGCCTCTTCCACGCGTTATGATTTGAGGCATGTGTAGAAGGGTTTAGTGTCCTTTGTAGGGTTGCCAGCTCCACGCTGGGAAATATCTGGAGATTTTGGGGGGAGGAGCCTGAGTGAGGAGGGCGGAGTTTGGGGCATAGTGACATAGAGTCCACCTCCCAAAGCGGCCATTTTCTCCAGGTGAACTGCTCTCTGTCACTTGGAATTAAATTGTAATAGTGGGATATCTCCAGGCACCACCTTGAGATTGGCAACCCTAGTCCTCTGCCAATTTTTTTTGCGATCTGCTAGTCACCCAATGCTTGGCAAAGGACACTAAAACCTACAGCTGGTTCCTCACAACACAATGGCAAGGGGAGCCCTTATGGCTGTGAGGGGTTGTCTTGGCAACCAAAAAAAGGGCAACTGAGTTCTCAGTGAGTATTCTTGAGAGATCTCAGTTGGCAAGCAACTCTGAATTTTTTTGTGCTGCCCATTTATGATCCTGCTGTTTGGAGAGGTTTCATGCCACAATTAATAATAATAAAAATAATAAAATCTATATTTACCTACAAATTTGGGGGTACCCAAATATTTGCATAAACCTATCCCTGCATGCCTCCATTTTGTGGATTTTTTTCTCCACCCAGAGGAAGAGAAGGCATACATGGCTATTATACAAATAGTGTGGTTTTATTCTTTTATAGTTGTGAACAACCTTACAAGCTTTTTAAAACTGAGAGCATGGGACAGAAAAAAGCTCAAATAATATATCAATGGAAGCTTCCCTTCATGTAACCCTGGGCAATGAAGGAAATTATTTAAGCAGCCAACATTGCTTTTTGTTAATATGATTTTGGCTCACACCTTGTACGTGCAGGCATCTCAATAAGGAAACATTCACACCCTGAAGCCTGTGCTGTTATTGCCCAATTTCATCTAAGACGACCTTAGGCTGTGATAGTTAAGGCTGAAATAGCGGATAACTAAATAGTGGTTGAACCGCGACCAAAACACCAGCCGACTACCGTATTAATAATCAAATAGAAGTGAGGATAAGGTTTCCAAATGGAAACAAATCACCTCCAGAATTTTCTCTTAGCTTACTCGACACATTCATTTATAAAACATTATTCTTACATTGCAAGCTCACATGCTAAGGAATACAGGTGGACTGGGATGTTAAAACAGCATGGGACCATGCTGGGGGAAAGGTGAGCCTACCTATATGGCCGTCACTACTGCTGCTAAGGTGAGCGAGGATGAGAACGTAAGAAGAGCCCTGCTGGATCAGACCGGTGGTCCATCTAGTCCAGCATCCTGTCTCACACGGAGGCCAACCAGTTCCTCTGGAGGGCCAACAACAGGGCACAGAGGCCAAGGCCTTTCTCTAGATGTTGCCTCCTAGCATCCAGAAGTTTACTGCCTATGAATGTGGAGGCACCACATGGGACCACTTGGCTCAGCTTGCCCCTGCTCCCAGTAAGAACTTTCCCGGTAAGTTAAAGGTTCAGTCCACCCCTCTTTAGGAAGTCTGTGGTTCAGATCTTGCCTCTGCCATGAACTGTCTCAATGGCCTACACAAGCTACACTGTCTCCAGCTGTGACCTACATTTGCTGGATAGGGATGATCATTCTGGCCTTCCTCACAGGGTTATTGTAAAAAGTTGATGCACATGAGCATCTTGAACATTCTGTACTGCTATATAAGTGTTAAGTAATATCTCTACCCTGTACAGATTTCCACTATATTCAAAGGCAAGGGATGGGATGGAACAGAGGTATGTGACATTGGGTATAACTGGGTTACCAATCTCCAGGCGGGGCCTGGAGAACTCTCAGAATTACAACTCTTCTCCAGATGATGGAGATCAATTCCCCCTAGGAAAAAGAGCTGCTTTTGGGAGGGGGGGACCTCTATGGCATTATACTCCACCGAGGGCCCTGCCCTCTCCAAATCCTGACCTCTCCACAGGCTCCACCCCCAAATCTCCAGGAATTTCCCAACCTAGGGTTGGCAACCTAGTTATAACCAAGAACAACCTCACAGGTGCACGATGCAAGCTAGATGGGTTCAAATCCTGCTCAGCTATGGAAACAGACAGGGGATATTGACCAAGGCTGTTACGAGGATAAAATGGGACCACTAGTTTATTACATTAATTTAAATCCTTTCTACCGGTGCATTTTAAAAATGCTTTATAATCTCATCAATGTGAAACAAAAAGCAAAGAAGCAGATGGGAAAAAAAACACGGAAATAAGGAAATCCAGATCAGCAAATAGCCACTGATAAGGGCAGTTCTGAGAAAGAAGAAGGTCAGTATATTTATTTAGGTATTTGAACCCCATTTTCCTTCCCAATGGGGACCCTAAGAAGCTACAACATTATTCTTCCCTCCTCCACTTAATCCTCACAACAGCCACCTTGTGAGGTGGGTCAGGCTGAGGGAGAATGGCTGGCCCAAGGTCACCCAGCAAACTTCCATGGCAGAGTGGGCATTCAGGGTCTCCAAGATTCTAGCTGTACACTGCAAGCAGGCTGGCTCTTCAGCTGGCCCGTCTGGCCAATGGATGTGACCTGTAATGTCCTCTGGGTTGCCTGGATGTTCTCAGACAGTGAGGCACATGGCAGTCCCAAAGGGCTGTGTCCGTTATGGAAGAGGAGGAGGAGGAGGAGATTGGATTTATACCCCACCCTTTACTACCCAAAGGAGTCTCAGAGCAGCTTACAATCCCCTTCCCTTCCCTACAACAGACACCCTGTGAGGTAGGTGGGGCTGAGAGAGCTCTTTTGAGAACTGCCCTTGAGAGAACAGCTCTAAAAGAACTTATGACTGACCCACGGTCACACCAGCAGCTGCATGTGGAGGAGTGGGGAATCAAATCTGGTTCTCCCAGATTAGAGTCTGTGCTCCTAACCACTACAGCAAACTGGCTCTCTTATGGACAAAGCTGAAAGGGAGAGAGGGTTATCCTCCCCTCCAAGTTGAACCTGGGCCCTGCACAACTGCTCTCCACAAAGCAAAAAACACAGAAACATCCATTCATGGCTCCTTCCACACCTCATCTAGCTAGGCCCTCAGAAGCTTCCCTAGCTGGCTTTTGTGTGTGGTCTTCCTCTTGATTGCAGTCAGTACTCACATTCTGGTTAGTATACCAGTAGAGGGAAGAATCCTTCAGGACAAACCAGTATTTCTTCCACTTCTGGGTGAAGTAACCTTTGGCATCTTTTTTCTTCCACAACCAGCCCTCGCAATCCCCATGCCCCAAGTCCTTGCAGGAAATCCGCCGCCGGCTGCTGTTGTTCAGCGAGCCTCCTGGGAACAGAGACAGAGGAGTTAACCTCGGAAAAAGAGGACAACGTTTGAGTCCAGTGGTACCGTTAAGACCAACAAAGTTTTATTCAAGGTGTGCACTTTCGTGTGCACGCACGTTTTGTCAGACAGTGAAATGGAATTACAGATCATAGTTCTATATACAGGGGTGGCTTGTTAAATTACCATGCAAAATAGTAAAGAAGTTTATTAACAGACCAGCAGAATGACAAGTTTGGTTTCTGGTTATCATCTTTTTGGGTTCAACTGGGGGGGGGGGACAACATGTAATAAATATGTCAGAGCTGGAGATTGATGTCACACCGTGAATAAAACTTTGTTGGTCTTAAAGGTGCCACTGGACTCTAACTTTGTTATATTGCTTCAGACGAACATGGCTGCCCACCTTGATCAGAAAAAGAGAGAGAGAACCAGTGTCAATAATATTGTCATTCCTTCCCCCCCCTTAAGGAGAACTACTTTAGAAAGATAAAACACTATTTCTATCCAAACTCTTTGAAGAAAAATGTCAGGATGATCTATCTGCAAATCTTGATTTTTTTTAAATACACATAATCCGGCTAATGCACAAGATGATTCTAATCTTTTACAACTAAACAGGCCCTCTTGTGTATTCACACATCTGTCACCTTCTTCTCCCACCCTTTCTCTGGGAATCTCAGGTTGGCATACACGGTTTTCCTCTCATCTTATTCAGTCAACAGTCCTGTGAGGAAGGTCAGGTTGAGTGTGAATGGCCCAAAGTGATCTAATTAGGGTTGCCAACTCCAGATTGGGAAATTCCTGGAAATTTAGGGGTGGAGCCTGCGGACAGCAGGATTTGGGGAGGGAGAACAGCAGGGATGTGACAACACAGATGCCACCCTCAAAAGCTGCCATTTTCAATTAGTTGTAATTCTGGGAGAACTCTAGGCCCCACATGGAGTTTTGCGCAAACCAAAAAATACTGTGTAATATATTATTAAATCTATATTCATGAAGTGTGCTCAATTTACAAATTGTACAAAAATATACAATTAGTTACATCTCGTATAGCCATGAATATATATTAGAAGATTTCAAATACACAGTTCCAAATACTGCATAATATAATCACATACACATTAAGGCACCAATCCAAACAGTGGGAAATACTCCCAAGGTTGCTAATTAAGGTTGCCAAGGTCTGGGGGATTTAGCAACCTTGGAAGTGTTTCCTACTGCTTGGATTGGTGCTTTAATGTGTATGTGACGCTATTATGCAGTAATTGGAACTGTGTATTTGAAATCTGATTTATATTCATGGCTATATATCTGTCACTAACAGTATATTTTTGTACAATTTGTAAATTGAGCACACTTCGTGAATATAGATTTAATAATATATTACACAGTATTTTTTGGTTTGCACATCTTTTACACTGTGGCCCTACAGAGTCTGGCATCTCTCAAGAAACTTTGTGGTAGAGTGTGGGTTTGGATCTGGATCGCCCCAGCCCTAGTTTGACACTCTAACCACTACACCCACTGGCTCTCTAACACCATGGCATTCAGGCTTGCACACCGGTGTCTACTCTCTTCACAGCTGTAGTGTTGAAGGGTGGGGGAAGTCTGACTTTTCTTTTACATCAGCAGGAGCTTGTGGGTGAATGGAACTGAACTCTCAGGATTAAGACATGCTGAGGCCCTAAAATAAGTCTACTGGCACTTTCACACATGCTGAATAGTGCATTTCCAATCCACTTAAAATGCACTTTGCAACTGAATTTTACTGTGACCAATTTCACACAAGAGCTGCACCACGGTCGGGCCTCCCTTTGCCCCGCTTCTATTGGTCAATTTCCCACTCGAAGCCACGCGGCTGCATTTTGACCTGCGACTTCGCCCGATTTTCCCTGCAGTTTTGTGATCTTGTTTTTTGAGGATCACAAAACCACGGGGAAAATCGGTCGAAGCTGTAGGTCAAAATGCGGCCGTGCAGCTTCAAGTGGGAAATTGACCAATAGAAGCGGGGAAAAGGGAGGTTTGACCGCAGGGCAGCTCTTGTGTGAAATTAGTCTGTGTGAAATGACAAAATCCATTTGCAAACCATCTCTAATGTGCATTCAAAGTTAAGTGCATTATTCAGGGGGTATGAAAGTGCCTTAGCTTAAGAGGCCCCGTAACATTACCAAAACAAATCATGCCTGTGGGCCCCATGGCACCCTCCAACACCTTTCTTGGTGTCCACCAAGTGGATGGAGCCAGGTGGGGCTCCTGCCCAATTGGGCTTCTGATTGGCTGTGCAGATTAAAATAACATTGTTTTGGGCGCAGCTTCCACCACAGTATATGTCTTACTTTCTCTAACTCCTTCCCAGTATATTTTTAATTATTCCCCCGGTCCCCTGCACTTCAACTTCCTCTGTGTGTATGTGTGTGTGGTTCCACTTCCCATGGCAGCCATTTTGTGGCTGCACCCATCCCCCTGCATCAGAATTCCAAACGTGCCTGCAGGCTCAGAAAGGTTAGGGACTAGGGATGCCAGTAAGGCTGCCAGGTCTGAGTTGAAAAATACCTGGAGACTTTGGGGGTGGATCCCGGAGAGGGCAGGGTTTGGGGAGGGGCCTCAGCATGGTACAATGCCAGAGAGTCCACCCTTCAAAGCAGCCATTTTCTACAGGGGAGCCAATCTCTGTCAGCTGGAGATTAGTTGTAAATGCAGGAGATCCCCTAGATGCCAGTCTCCAGGTGGGACCGGGAGATCCCCAGAATTGCAGCTAATCCTCAGACTGTGATCAGTTCCCCTGAAAAAAAATGAATGTTTGGGAGGGTGGACTCTACAGCACTGTACTCCACTGAGGTCTCTGTTCTTCCCCCAGGCTCCATCCCCAAATCTCCAGGAGTTTCCTAACCTGTATCTAGCAACCCTACCTGTCATGATCATGGGCCTAATGTAGTGCAGCCTACAGGCTCTTGGCTCCAGGGAACCCTGTATGGGAGTAGCTATCAAGGCCTATATTTCCCAGATTCCCTCTGGACCCTGTGATTAGTTGACAGGTGTTATGTCTTAATACAATAAAGACATGAGTAAGCTTATGCACAGTTCTGTATTACAGAGCATTACTTGGACTGTTCTAAAGAGCCTATCAGAGAAGCCTTTGGCGGGAACCACTCTCATTGGTTCCAAGCCCGCTGTTCCTATTGGTTGTTATCTGTTTGTTGGGTGTGGTTATGGCCGTTCAGATCGTATATGTCAGCCTTGTTCTATGTAGTTTTGTCTTGTGTTGTTATGAGCTGAATGAAATGAAATTACTTGTTCAAGAAGCTGCCTTGATCTCAGTTTATAATACAGGGGATTTTGGAGGGAAAACTGCACCAGCAGAGGAGCAGAGGGGGGTGCCTGGGAAGAAGAGATAAAAGGCCTTGCCCAGAGTGGGAGGGTGTTCACTGCCAGGAAGCAGTGCCCGTGAGGCTGCTGCAGAAAGAGGGATCCCTCACCCAAAAGGGGTGAGTCAGTCTGAGACCAGGTACCTAGAGAAGGCTGGGACTGTATAGTCAGACACGTTAGGATTTATGAGTTTGCTGGTTTACCTACCTTTGCTGTGCTCATTTTCCCTACTTGTTATTAATCTAAAGTTGTTGTTAAATCTCTAAGTAAAACTACTTGTTACTCTGCCTGGGTCCTCATACCTCATTTGATCACGTACAAGGGGAAACCTGTTGGAAAAATACTGTAACAAGGGGTAGGGTGGGTGCTCTGGGTCCTCCCAAGGACACCCATACCAGAGTGGTGGCAGCCAATAGTGGACCTTCCTAGCCACTGCCCACAACATTACCCCTTTTACCGCCACCGGTAGGCTTGCCAGGTCCCCCAGAGGGGCAGCGGTTTGTCTGCCAGGATTGTAGGGCCGGGCATGTTGTGTGTGGGGGGGACACTCTATCATTTGAGGGAAAACTCTATGTTTTCCCCTTGAATGATGGTGGCCCCGCCCCAGCGTGCCCAATGCGATGATGTCACTTCCAGGTGACGTCATCCCTGCGTGTCGAGGATGTCCCAGAGAGGGGCCGGGACTCCCCCGCTGGAACAAAGGTATGGCCTGACAACCCTAGCCACCGGGGAACCTGGCAACCCTAGTGGGGACCCCTGTTCTAGTGTGTCAACTTATCTGATGTACAGTAATTCTTCATAGGTTGGTATAGATTCTGTAACGCAGTTAGTGTATGCCTGTGAGTGTGCTTAGGCTCAAATAATAGCTGCTGACCTAAAGCCACCTACTGGGTTCAAAGTGAAGGTGAGATCTGAATTCGGGATTTCCAAGCCTGGTTAGCTACTTCACTACCCAAGCATAAGTGAGCTACTGGAGCTGACTGCATGAGTAGTGGGCATCAGATATTACCCCAGATATTACCCCAATGGGATTTATATAGGGTTGCCAAGTTGATCTTCTGCCGGAGTGGGGGGGCTCCCGGCCGGCGACAGCAGGCACGCTGGGGGCGGGGCCATGGCCATACGGGGGCCCAATCTGATGGTGGCGGGAAACGGGCCTCTGGGGTGGGGTTTTCCCCGCCCCCCGGGGGTACTTGGGAAGCCTAGATTTATAGCACATCATGGCATCGGCTTTGTAACACTGGCTTGGCTTCTCTTCCATTTTCCAAGTGAGCAGTAAAATGCAGAATGAAGCCAATCCATGTACAAATGTCAGAGGTACTTTATCAGCCTTGCCTGGCTCTTGATTTCTTAATGCTTCATACAGATCAGAGGACGTTACAGTTGATTGTGATTAACCGCATTGTGACATCGTTGTCTGACCTCTTTTAAACAAAGGAGGAAAGAATGGCCAGTGCGTGCCATTTGTATTTTACTCAGAGGTTAATTCGCATCAGGAATTTTTAGAGCCAATGTAGCGCAACAGAAAGGGCTTTATTTTCATTACTTCAACCCATCTGACTTTGACAACCCTGAAATTTTACTCTTTTCTCTCTTTTTTTTAATCACCAGAAACAGAATCCCCCCCCTAATAT